TGAATGTTGGTTAATGTACTTGATTTGTGTCAGGATATTTCGAGGCGTTACATTTGCTACTGGTCCATATTTCCCATTAAAAAAAAAAATTAATCCATAGTGCATTTGGGACTATTTTTATTTTCAAAAAATAAAAAATAAAAAATCTAAGGGTATAATCATAAATTAATATGTCCATAGTAGACGTTAATAATCAAAAGTAAGGGTGGACAACTTCTCAAATCAGCTTTTTTGAATTAAAATAAGTTATTAGTATCAAAAATAGTTTGAAATAAGTTTAATCAAAGGAGAAATTATTGAAAAATATCATTTGGGAGAGTTTTAGTCTAAGGAGTCTTGCTTGTTTTCTAATACACTTGTAAGTCCTATTTTTTGGTAATAAGATCCATAAGATCCCATTTGCTAAATGTGGAATGGATTTGGTGACTTTTTTACCTTTTCTTTGTGGTGTGTAATGTTTTAGACTGGAATATTTAAATTCCATTGATTACGTTTTGAGAAAGATTAAGTATGGGCAGAATCTTGTGGGTTTCTAGGGTTTTTGGATATTTGAATACTTGGGTGGTGGGTTAAGGTGATCATGGCTGGTGGGTGTTGTTTGTAGTCATCGGCTTGGGGATGTGTAAAGCCAGGAGAGGAGTGCTTGGATCTTCTGAAATCCCATATTTTTGAGGTATTAATATTTTTGTAAGAGGTATTGGTGGTAGTTTGATGGTGAGATTCTTAGATGTGAATCTAACTTATTTTCTCTATTTATTTTATCTCTTTTTATCTCCACCTCATTATTATTCATCTCCTTTGTTTTCTAATTTTTTTATTATTATTCTTGGGCACCAAATAAATTTTATTGTATTATTTTTTTCATCATTTCCTTGCTTACCAAGTAATCTTTTATTTTATTTTAAATGCTTTGCTTTGCTTAATTGTTGTGCTTGGGTGAGGTGGATAAATGCTTTGCTTAATTGTTGTTTTTGTTGTGTGTTATGATCGTGTAGTTATTTTACTTGTGTATTTGGAATGGGAAAAGGGTTGGTGTGTGTGTGTTTACTGGGCATTCCAAGCTCATGGCGTTTTGATTTATTAACGGCCTAGAAGTTAGGGTGTTACAGAATGGTATCAGAGCGTAGGGATTAGGTCTTACATGGGATCTATTGGGTGATTAATATTTGGATTCAATATTTGAGGTAAAAAAAAATGATTGATATTTGAGGTGAAAAAAGAAAAAAAAAATTGTTGTTTATATCAAAGTGCATAGCACAAACACCGTATTCTAGGGAACCCTAACAACCCCAACAATTGCAGCAATAAAATCTTAAGGAGAGTTTTCAAGCAAGGCCAGCTGGGTTGATCCAGTGCTATCATTGTCAACAGATGGGACACAGGAGGTTCGAATGCCCCCAATTGGTTGGAAATCGAGGAGAACGCTCAGGAGCAAATACACATGTTATCGGCGGGCAGCAACTATGGGTAACTAAGTCAAGAACTACTAGACAAGAAAATTTCAAGGTGGAGAGCAACATGAGCTTGGAATGCCCAGTAAATATACACACCCTGACCCTTTTCCAATTCCAAATACACAAGTAAAATAACGACATGATCATAACACACAGCAAAAACAATAATGAAGCAAAACATATAATAAAGTTCAGTTCTCATGAATACAGTCAATTTCAGTTCTCATGAATAACAGTCAATTAAGTTAGTTCTAGGCAACTCCCCGCGGAATGTCGTTCTTACCCAACCACTAACACTGGCCACGAGCAATTCTGACTCCCCCTTGGTTAATACAATACCAATGCGTCGCTTACCGTATAATCACTAGTGCGTCGCTTACCACACAATTACCAATGATGCCCACGCACCTAGGTTACATACCCGAGTAGTGACATCACGATCTGCCCCAAGGGAATGGGCTTCCAAGGATACTCTTCTTGTGTGAGACCCTCACTGCTACCCTTATGCCTCCCATTTCCGTTAAGCAGCCAGAATACCTCTCGTGCCATGTTAGGGTTCGAAAACACACTTGCGCAAGACTTCACAAAAATGGAGCACATTCCACTATATCATACTCTTGAATCCATCGTTCATTATCTCATAAAATTTACTGCAATGATCGCAACCCATTACTATCCCATTTGATTTCCCCTTTATTAAGTGCATTATGTTCTCAGTTATAGCAAAGTATGGCCAATATAATTACGAATCCAAACTAAACAACAAGTAATTTATTTTGGAAGAAGTAGGAAGGCTGAGGAGAACACGTCAGAATGAGAGGGCACATCTATTCTATAAGTTTCACAAATAGAGACCATTGATCTTCACTGGCGAACCCAATCCTAAAATTGTTGAAAACTAGATTCGACAAATTGAAAAAATGTTCAATACGATGGGAATAACTGAACAAATTGATAGGATTGCTCTAGCAGTTTACCAACTAGAAGGGGAAGTAAATTCATCTAAGAATCTCACCACCAAACTACCACCAATAGCTCTCATTAAAATATTAATACCTAAAAAATACGAGGTTTCACAATTGGAAGTTGGGGCGTTATAGATCTATCGACAGTAATGTGCTTTGTGTGTGTATGGTTTTTTTTTTTTTTGGTTGTGTGGGTTAGGTGTAAACGTTGCCATGCGGGTTGTGCAATTAGTCACGAAAAATATTTGGTAGCTCGAATTGAGCTGTCTCGAATGGCTCGAATCATTATTTACCGGTCGACTGACCGAACGATCGAGTGAAACGCATGTCTACCGCGGTTGTCATTGTGTCGACCGCGACTATCAGCCTTTTCATTGGATGACCAGACAGACGACCAGTCGATCGACCAGGCAAATGACTGGCAAGATGAAATTCGAGCCATTCGAGCCATTCAGGCCAAACTCAAATTCAAGCTACGCAGTAGAGCTCAATTAGTCATCGTGTTTTGTTCTGTCGCACTGTTATGTTGGTGAGTCACGTTTGAAACTTGTGGAACCAATCACATATTTCACATTACAATGTTAACACCTACAAAAAACCACTGTCCACTGTGTTAATGCAGTTCAGCGGCAATCCTTGTGTTATTCTGTTGGATTTGTATTTATACCATGAATGATACGTTCGTACACTCACAACAAATGGCTGCCACATCGCACATATATATTGCTCAACAATGTACATGCGACGCGGCCTCGACGAACGTATATGTCACATTTTCTTACATTTTGTTCTATTTCAATGTAGGAATGGGGACAGCATCATATTATTGTGTTCGTACGAGACGAACAACATTGCTGTCATGGTTGATGTTGAGTTCACCTTCAGTAAGGTAGTTGTCCACATTTTGGATAGAGTTTTGAACATGGAATCCCTAACCAAAATTGGCGAATCACTGATCTAAACAAGCATGGAACACCCAACTGAGAATGATGGAACGTTGCTATGATGAAACGCTAAACGATTGATGCACCAAATTTGGGATGTTGGTCTATTTCCTTATTTTGTAGTGGACATGTTTAGGTCAGACACCAAATGTGGGTTGCCTTTTTTTTGGTGGAAGATACCTTGGTCTCTAATCTAAATTTGTGGCTACATTTGGATCAAACCCAAATGTTGGCTGCCCAAACAAATGTGGTAAACCCCCAAAGCCTATAGTACACTTTTGTCAAACGTAACATAAACGATAATTACGGAATTCAAATCATCTACCATAAACAACATCCACAATAGGCAAAAGTGTCACTCCTCACATGATGGGACTTCTGTGTGTATTAAATAAAATATGGGATTGACTAGTTCACAATTCCTCTATTTGGGATTTATAGGTCAATCCCCCTTAACCAAATAGTCCAAAATAATTTTTCCAAAACAAAAATCTATAAATTGACAAAAATAAACCACACTAAACACTCCAATACGACATAATATTAAAGGACTACGTAATATTACTCCTGATAAACTTCAAATTAGTTCAATTTTCAAACTTTCTTAATCCATGTGCATCTCTCATGTAACGCCCCGAAATAAATGCCATAAATTCATTCAAGACCATATGTAAATAACAATACGAATCAGAGTATAATGTTCCTTCATTTCATGAGAATTAATAGTACAAAAGAGTTTAACTAAATAAATGCCCTATATGCTTACATCTTTCCAAGACCATTCTTGGTTACAACAAAAGCAGATATAAATCCAACACATCTAAAGCCCTTTGCTTGAATCAAAACAATAACATAACACACAAAAGAGAAGCCTTTGCTCCAAATCCCTCCAAGCTACTGTCTTGGCTGAGGCATATCGCTGGCACTTGAAAATGGTTTTTCCCAAATAGGGTGAGCCAAAGCCCAATAGAAACAATCTAACACAATGTATGAATCTTAACAAAAATATAAGTATGATATGCATATCCAAAGCCCATGATAAAATCATTTATAACTTTTTCACAAAACCAAGCCATGTCGTGTTTTATACCTCCATTCATTTTATCTCAACTCATAAGCCATTCATCATTTCATTCAGACAACCCAAACTGAGGGTACAACTCAGTGGGTCTCTAACCAACACAACCATTTTACAAATACTTCTATTTTACCATTTTACGGATATTTTGTCCGCGGGAATCGACACCCATGTATACGTGCAGTTTTTCAGACTTTCACCTAGATACACAAGTCAACTTAATTCAATGAAGTCTATCCCCTTTCTTCTTCCAAACATGGAGTGCATCTTCTTTCTTCTCCCAAACATCATACATTTACATTGTATTAAAGACATAGTCATATTCAATGACAACGAATAAGAGATTAGTTTCAATTCACCTAATCGTCATGCAATTTCTACAACAATCATAGCTATCCTCCACTGATAGCCCAAAACAAATATTTCTAAACAGATATACAATCTCCAATACAGATAAATTACCCAAATTTCCATAGGTAAGAGATAACACATATCCAATTCCACCATTTATATAAACATTCATCCAATTTCATATTCCCAACACCAATTTCATTTATTTATACAAACTAGCTATTTGAGGCATTTTAGGGCAAACTCACATTTCTCCCAAAATCTACCCCGGGTATCAAAATCAACAAATTTATCACAACACAATCTCACATCTACTCTCATATTTAACACATACATTTGAAGACCCCTTTTTTTTTTTTTTTTAAACCAAAACCTTAGGTTTATTCAAAATAATCTAAAATTCCAATATTCTTTACACATCAACAGATAACTAAGTTAAAACTCATAAAAGAGTGTAAAAAATCCCTACCTCAAGTTTAGAAGATGAGCAAAGCAAGGAAGAAACTTCGAAGACGCCGAAACCAAGTTTTGTTCGGACCAAAGTAAAGCTCTTAAGATGCTCTACCTTTTTCTTAAAGACACTGGGGTAGAGAGACCAACGGATCAAGGTGAAAATGTAGAGAGAGAGAGAGAGAGAGTTTTAGAGAAAGAGGCTCTAGATCTAGGGTTTTGAGAGAAAAAGATGTGAAAATGTGATGTAGAAAGGTGTTGCTGCGAACTGATATACGCACAGTCCACTCGAGTGTGTTTTACTCAAGCGCAAGAAGTGACGCTCGAGCACAGAATGCACACTCCCAGTAGTTTTGCATACAATTGACCAACGCTCGAGCGCAATAAAGACCGCTCAAGTGCAGAAAGCACCGCTCGAATGTAGAATACACTCGCCCAGTAGTTTTGCAAACCTGCAAAAGTACTGAGAGCTCAGAAAGCCCGCTCGAGCGCAAGAAGTGTTGCTCGAGTGAAGGAGTAAAATTCTGGGCAACCAAAGTTTCAAAATCAAGCAACCAACTTGTTCCAAACGCAACCATTACAATCCAATAGCCAAACTCAAGGAAGTTTGAAGGGAAAAAGACTTGAACAACACTACAAAATCACGAAACCCGAGTCCAAGATACAAAAGGGTCGGGTTAAAACCAGAATCGCTATACCTCATAACAACCCACTTGAGAAAATTTGCCGCACAACTACCTCACAACTTTTCTCTCAAATCTAGAACATATATAATTACTAGTTGCGAGGTGCTTTGCACGATAGCCTATGCCCATGGTTCAAGCAACTTCAAATTGCTTGATTTGAAATTTACATCTATTTAAAAGGATCCTTAATCTTTGATCACTAATTCTTAATGTTATCCTATTGTGCGTTACTTGTAGCTTGTTGTTTTGTATATTCAGCAATAACTGTGAGCACTATGGATGAAACTTTAGGGCCCCTACACAACAAATAGAACGAAAATACATAAGCAAAATAATAAAAATAACTCAACTACAAAGACAAGTTAAAAGAGAGAGAACAAGGTATAAAAGCATTTTTGGGGTCTTAGATTAACAAAAAATAATTGATTAGATGAACTACAGAACTGGTTTTGGAAAGTTCATCTCCAAATATTCAGCCATACTTGAACTTTAGTTTTTGCAAATTTCATCCAAAGCTGTTAGTAAAAACATAATTGTCAAAACTATTTTGTCATTCATTTTCCTTCCAAAATCTGAATGTTTTGAATTGTCTAAATCATTTTATCTCATGGAACTATTATTAGAAATTTATCCACAATACCAAAGAAGCAACAATGTTAATGCCCAACAAATAGAAGAACAATAAAATATATAATCAAAGTTTTGAAGGCTATTAATAGTGTTATGTATCTATCATGTGTTAACTACCATTCTACAAGCATTGAAAATGCAAGCAACAGGCAATTTTGTTTTTATTAAAAAAGGAAAGAGGCAAATTTGTGTGATAGTTATCTTTTTATTAATTTCTTTAAAAACACAACTAAGATGCTACCATATGATTGTAATTATTATTTCCTTAAATTCAGAAATGGTTCTGGTATTCCAATAGAAAACTACTAATCACTCAATAGAAAAAGGTTAGCATATCCCAATATCACACTCTGGTCTAAACTAATCTCTTGATGCAATACCCAAAAAACTTGGGGACTCTTGGAGGGGCACTATTGCACCAAACTAATCTCAGTGGAGTATGTGAGAAACCACTTGACATTTCGCACTCCCTGCACATAGAATTAACAGACAATAAAAATAAGACTTATCATACATCCAAACCATTTTATCTTCAAAACAACTTATGAAAGAAATGGCTTTAAAGTTGTTTCATTGCCTTATTTTTCTCATGTTCCTTCCACACTAATAGATCTCCACAATAGTAAGTATCAGTTCTGTCATTTAGATTTTAAATTTCAAAGGTTTAACATCAACCAGGAATCCAGTAAGGAAATTGAGCTGATATTGAAATTTGAGATGAATAAGCTTTAAAAGACATTCAAAAAATAGTGTATAATTAAAGAAAAAACAAGCTTATTTTTGGTATCATCTTAATATAATTAATTTGTATAATTTTCCACACTTCTAAATCAAGTCTTAGGTCCCAACAAGTTAAGAATAAAGAAATAAACAAAGATTTATATGCTGATGTAGAAGCAAACAATCAATAGTTGTATTACTCTGCACAAAACAATGTGCATGAATATATACTGGAAAATTGATAACGCAACAAATAGATCTACTTTTAACCCTTAATTAGGTAAGGCACATAGCAGGTCAAATAAGCAAGAAGGAAGACAAATATGAAAGTGCCAAATTATCAACTGCAAACAAAATCAATGAACAAGAATGGCACCATTGCCTCTGAAATTTGTTGAAGACAAACCAATTGTTATGAAATGCCAATAATTTCATTCACAAATAAATGCATACATTCGTATAGATAGATATGCAGAAATCTATAAAATTATGAAAGAACTATAAATTTATGTATTTGTCGTATAATTATAATTAATCTCAATAACTACCATATTTATAAATTGCACTCTAGTCTAAACTAATCTCTTGATGCAATACCCAAAAAACTTGGGGACTCTTGGAGGGGCACATAGCAGGTAAGGCACATAGCAGGTCAAATAAGCAAGAAGGAAGACAAATATGAAAGTGCCAAATTATCAACTGCAAACAAAATCAATTAACAAGAATGGCACCATTGCCTCTGAAATTTGTTGAAGACAAACCAATTGTTATGAAATGCCAATAATTTCATTCACAAATAAATGCATACATTCGTATAGATAGATATGCAGAAATCTATAAAATTATGAAAGAACTATAAATTTATGTATTTGTCGTATAATTATAATTAATCTCAATAACTACCATATCTATAAATTGTAAATATAATGAACTAAGGTTTGTATAAATCACTAAATTTTTATGCATATTTACAAAGATGAACACTTTTTATTTACTTTATAGAGGCTACAATGTGCACTCACAAAAGGGTGCGTATGGTATGCACTTCATAATTCTTTCACCAAATTGTGTATCATAGACCACAAAATGTCATAAAATTTCTCACCACAAAATGGCATAACTTCACCATTCATAACTTTAGGGTGCATACCATAAATTCAATATTCATAATTTTAACAAGCATCATAACACACCATGAATATTTATAATTTTCATAACAAAAAAATTGTAATTTTCTTATCATGTGCACCATTTTAGGGGTGCACGTTACTTATTTTTCCTATAAAAAATCATACGATTGAACCTCAAAGCATTTATAAACTAACCAAAAGAGCTGAAAGCTTATGACAAAAATAGTCAAATAAAATCAAAATTGAAAGATGCAAAATTATAAAAGATGAACAATTCTCCATATTTACAAACACCCATCATGAGATAGTAAGGATGTAATAGAAGACACTTTTATTACATAGAATATACAAGGTAAAAGTTCAATAAAGAAAAAACAGAGCATTATTCAACATAACAAACAAAGAGGGAGCTCTTTCTTAAACTTAAAATAAAAAAAAAAATAAAAATAAAAAAGACTTGAGTTAATAAACAAAAGAAAAAGAAAATCTAATTTAAAAAAGAAAACAAAAGAAAAACCGAAACAATAAGACTAAAAGCTTTTAAAAGAAATTAACGTTTAATTTTGCAGCAATTCTTTGCCTTATAATCAATTGAGGCCACACATTATTCATGCGCAAACTATTGAGAACTATAGATCAAAACAAGTGGCTTATGAGAAGCTTAGGAGGAAAAAAAAATTATATTTTCTCTGAATATGCTTTTCATTCACAAAATTTTATCACTGAGGTTATAGACAAACCTCACTATTACAAAGAAAATAATACATACCATAAAAAATTTAACAAGAAGGAAATATTAAAAGAGACAAGACCATGTATAACAACAATAACTATTAAAACCTAAAGCAAGAAAGCCAAATAAGACAGAAACAAGGAGGTGAAGAAGACAAGATATAGAGAGCAAGAAGTTTCACACCTTGTAAAGTGCAATTAACTCCCTATAACTGAGATCTCTCTTTGTTCCTCTCATGTAAATTTGCTCATGCTTTGTAATTTTCATTTTCCTAGTGAGACAAATGAATCAAAGCAATGATAAAAAGAAAGCACGAAAATGGACATAAAAAGGTAAGTAAGTACCCTAAAAATTAGCAATTACAAATTGAGTTTTCACTATCAATACAAAAGTTAATAAGATCAAAATTAAGAAAAATAAGCATGTCAACAGGCAATAAAGATAAACAATATGCGCGTGCACACACAAATACATATATCGTTGAGAATGAAACATAAATTGACTTCTTGGCAAATTTGCACATAGCTTTGGTGGCGATGGAGTTATGGACTTTCTGATCCTCTTCCTCTTCGATGGAGTTGCGAGTTAATCTGACATGTCAAAATCTGGAAGAAATAAAAGGAGAACAAAGTTTAAGATGTATGGTAACAGAATGTATCTTATAGAATTTCTACATGAATGGTCTACAACTATAAGGGATTAATTTCAACATTCTTAACAATGTGTTGCATATTTACTACATTGTTATAGAGTGAAAAAAGCACATAAATACATTGCCTTGGGAAGAAATTTTTTTAAATGGATAAGTCAAGCTCAATAAACTCAATTTAATTTTTTTTCAAAATAATTTCAAATGTTAGCATGTATATAGCCTTACAGATTAAAAATTCAGTGAAAACGTTAAATTCATATGAATATTTGTCAATGAATAGGACAAAATAAAGATGATATAATAATCTTAATACTCCCACAAACTAGAATAAACTGCTATACATGGCCTTAGTCAAAAAAAAAAAAAAAATATAGTCATATATCTCAAATCCTAGTACATAACTACTTGAAAGAAAGAACACCAGTGCAAAAGGCAAAAGCATAAATTGTCATGCACTTGCTTCCACCTAACTGAGCTTCAGCAAAATAGAGTAAAGAGAACACCAACACAAACAACTACCTTGAGGCTTTTTAAAATAAAAATAATAAATTAAAAATAAAAAATAAAAAAAAAGCATCCAGATGAATAATCTATACTACAACCATAGCCATAGGCTCCAAACTCCACCTACTTCCACCATATAACCAAAGAATCATAATAAGTTATACATTCAACTTTCTAAAATAGTCTAAGAGACTATAAAAAAACCAAGAAATTTCACTGATTGAATTCACATTTAAGGACATCTGACTACCAGTTTCGCAATCACACGTGGCTATAATTTTCTAATACATCTCATGACTAGAACAAATTTTCAAATACATGGTGTGCAACTTTGAATGGTGGTAAAATTAAACACAAAGAAAATTCCATAACCTTAATAAACTAACTGTTGTGGACCAAATTTAAGCCTTTCAGACTTGCAGATGGAAATGATTACTGAAAATTAATAGTTGCATGTGCTGAATTCCAGCAATAGAAACGAAAATAATAATTAAAAAAAAACACACACACACACAATTGAAAAATAAGACACGGTACATGTTAAATCCACAAACTAAACCCCTAGAGCGTAAAAAAATTACCTCAATGCAAAGAAAACTGGCTTTGGTTGTGACAGATTCAGGGACTTTCTCTTTCTCTTCTTCATAGTCGAGAAGCTCTTCATTTTTGTTTCACCTAATAGACGGATCAAAGAAAGTAAATTTAAGTGTTTCATTACGGTTTGAAATTCAAACAAAGCATCAAGCCTAAAGTTTTGAGAAAAAGGTTGTTCACCTTTGAATTTGTAAGAAAATTGGATGGAATTAGGGTTAAACTTTGAAACGTCTGGTTATCCCATTCCTTCTCACTTCCATGCTTTCTTCGACGATACATCTACCTGTGGGATAGGAAGAGATAGACGAAATAGCTGAGAGATTTGGGATGAGCTCGCCCAACAAGAAAGGCCTAGCGAGATTTGGGATTCTGTCACGCCTCCAAAATAATTACAATAATTCATCTATAAATGACTAATACCAGATGACATAAACAAAATAATAGACTTTTATTAATCAGAGTTAATTTACAAAAATGGAACATGCGATATACATTCATAAACTCTACCCTGAATCTATAGCATGTGATATCAACTTAAAGATCAACAAAATAAATGCCCTACAGGCTTACATTTTTCCAAGACTGTGCTTGGTTACAATAAAAGAGAGAGTCTTAAGCTCCATACATATAAAGCCCTAGTGTAGACACCCCATTTTTGACCGTTTTCAAGACTTGGACGTCATCGTTTAAACACTCGATGATCATCCATGCTCGTGTTCGTTTTTAGTTCTCAGAGGTCTCGGCTACGCGCCTTGTCTCAAGATCTCTCAACTTGTCTGTTTTGTGCTTGGTTGTGAACCAAACACTTGTGTTTTTGCTTCTAAGGGAAGAGGGCGGCTTGTTTGCCCTGCCCTCAACCCACTGGCCAAGGCTTGATGCCACCGGCCCTGTTTTCTTTCCATCGACTAAGTGTGTTGGCCGATCGGCACTGTTTTTGGTTGGCCGGCCACTATGTTGGTCGATCAGCCATTTTTCCTGGCCGAACCCTGTTTATCTGCTTTATGCAGATATTTTGTGCCAGCTGGCATAACTGGCATCCACAATTACCTCCCTCCATACACGTGTATGGAGGGATTTACACCCTTTGCTTAGCTTTCCTTAGAAGCTTTGGATTGCACTTCTGTAAAGAGGGAGTTCCTCCTCCTTCCTTAGAGGTTTAGAAAATTGGTTCTTGAGAGGATAGATATAGTATTGTATCTCTACTTCCTTGTTTAGTCTTGCTTTGTACTCAAAAGTGTAGTATTGTCTTACTATTGTACACAAACACACAGTAGAACACCATCCTCTTGGAGCTAAGGTCCCTTAAGGTCATTTTTAGTGTTCTTGGGTTGGTTTGAACTCAGAAAACCTGCTGGAGCTTTGTTCTTGAAGAGGTTCAACAAGGGTGAGTTCCTTGCTTTAGATACCCCTTTCTTGCTTAAGCTTTTAGCCTATCTTGCTTATTGTTTTAAGCTTAGTTTATGTAGACACCCCATTTTTTACCGTCCTCAAGACTTGGACGTCACCGTTGGAACACTCGGTGATCATCCGTGCTTGTGTTTGTCTCGAGTTCCCGGAGGTCTCGGCTGCGCGCCTCGCCTCTGGATCTCTCGACTTGACTTTTCGGTGTCTGGTTTTGCACCAAACACTTGCGTTTTTGCCTTGAAAGGCAGGGAATGGCTTGTTGGCCATTCCCGCACCCCACCGGCTATCCCCTCACATCACCGGCCGTTTATTGGTGCCACCGGCAGTGGTTTCTTAAAACCAATGGCCGGTCGGCACTATATTTTGCCGACCGGCACTTTGTTTTGGCCGGTGACCTTTTTTGCTGGCCGGTGTGACCCTTTTGCACCCTTCAGACTTGGTGCATGCCAGCTGTGCCAGCTGGAATGCACAAACACTCCTCCCCGTGCATGAAATGGCTGTTTTGAGCCTTTGCACCCCTTTTCCTTCTAGAAGGTTGAACCCTTTG